AAGGATTAAACCTATTTGTAATTCCGTAATCTAGAATAAAATTTCTTAATCTAAAACAAGATTACATGTCATAAAAACAAGACCACGCAATCGGGAACAAGATCAAGTTTCTGCATTAGAAAATCCAAAACAAGGTAATTCTGAATCTGAGACCTGGAGTATTGATAAGGTTTTATTGTGTAAAATGTGGATCCACATTTGCACAGGAATCATTTCTTTCTTCCTGCGCTTCCATAATTTCGATCCACACCCACAGATTTTTATTTTCTAAAATATATAATTTATAATATGATTTTGGGATTGTAAAATCCAAATTACATTTTATTTTAAATAATAAATTTTAAAAAAATTTAGATTATACATTCCAATATATAAATATAAAAGTATAATTTGAATTATACATTGTGTAAAAAGAAAGAGTATAGAAAGAAGCTGCCTTGCATGAGTGAGCAGATGAGAGAATGAGCATTACATGAGTGATGCAAGGAATTTTCTATAAATACCCAACTTAATAGAATATATTTAAAATTATTTTGAAAATGTTATTTTTTGATAAAAAATTATCCAAGATCTATCAAATTAATTACTAATTATACATTATGAAATTTTCTTCTTGAAATGTGTAAGGTCTCGAAAATGTAACCAGCCTCCACCTGTCAAATCACGTTATTAATGCCCAAAACCCTGCTCAGGCGCCATTAAAACGCACCAAATCCCCTCTGCGCGGATGCCAGGTGTCGTTAAATAAGAATCTGGAATTCAGTAGTGGAATACAAGTGGCAGCAGGAGAATGGACACTCGTCCTACGTGGGAAGGGAAAATGATTTTCTGAAAAACAAAAACCCTCTTCCCACTCTTCTGCATGCTTCTTCTTCTTCCCCAAAACTCTGACCTTCCAATTCTCTGCCTTCTCTCTAGAAAACCTCCATCTTCTCTCTACCGTAACTCACTCTCTTCTTCTCCGATCCAATTTCAGAGACCGTAGAAGAGATCCCGACGTCCTAAGCTTTCCATTAAACCGAACAAGTTCGAGTTTTGAATCTGGTAAGTTTCTTCCATTAATCGTTCGTTCTTAGGTTTCACGCAAAACCAAATCTAGTTACTTGCTTTAGCTTGGTCTGGATCAAATTATGATTCTGTAAATATTTTTAGTTCACAAGAGTTGAGTGATCTGAGGATAGAAGTGGTAGTTGGGCGAATCCAGATTATACGTTAGGACGTTCGTTCACGAATCCAGGTAAGGGAAGCTTATTAAGTTTAATTCATGTGTATGTGTTGTGATGTATGACGTATGTGATTTTGTGAAGCATGAAATCTGTATGACTGGATCTTGGGTATATGATTTTGACTGTGAAATGATGTATGAGAATTATAAAATGTGCTATGGTATGATTAGTTAAATGTATGAAAGTATATACTGGAAGATGAGTTTACTGTAAGTGAGATTTTGAATATGAAATTCTATGATAATGAACGTTCGTTATCGAACGGTCCTTGACAGTTCGATAATTGTATAATCCCCTTGAAAAGCAGAATTCTTTCATCTGGAAAGAATACTTATTTAGGACGAACGCCCTCTTATATTAGTCTTGCGTTTGAGCGTTCAGCCAAACGTAGGTGCTCTGAGTGTTATGTAAGAAATTGAGAAGCTTGAAAAATACAAATTTCTATACTTAGTCATTCTTTAATAATTCACTTTCCTATTGTTATCTTATAAATTTCTATTTTTACTTATATTTCGCATCAGCGATGGGTCTCGACTCGAAGCGTTCGTTATGAGTGGCGCTCAGTCTTTTACCGAACGCTCATCCTTACACTTGATTACCAAACGTACGTAAATAGCGTTCGTCCATATATTTAATAAATGTTTATTGTCGCGTTCGGTCATTGACTGGCGGTTAGTTTCTTTTATTAAATCGTACTCGGTATCAGTATCTAAACGCCTTGCGGTGTTTTTATCCATTTGGATTCGATCTATAGTTATTGTACCTAAATTGTTCTAAGTATCATTTGAATCTTTCTAGAATCAGTTCATTTAACTTATTCAAGTGGTCATAACGTCCGTCCTTGGAAAGACGTTCGTTTCCTTCCGTTCAGAAACGAGAACTTCTCTGTATCATGTTAACGTTCGTCCTCATTATGGAGGGGGCTGAACGCTCGTCTTTTTATAAAACTAAAATTGAGTATGAAAATGATGTTAAGTTGGAAAGTTGTTAAGAGTGAACAGTATATGAGGTGAAAATATGGTTATGGATTTTTAACGAGCATTCCATGGAGGAACGACTCACGTATTGAATATTGGAAATTGTATAGTATGACTATGGTAAAGCTACTGATGACAGTTCATCCTGATGTTCCGTGAGTGCTCGTCCTCAAGTAGAGGGGAGTAGGTCATGTGTGGGAACGGCAGGAGGTCCTAGTCCTTCTGAGTACTTTGGACTGATAGGGCTAACCTCGGGTGGCAGCTGTTGAGTGTTTATCAGTTACTACATCACCCGGGTGCAAGAACGCCTGTAGATACATAGATTCATACAGTCCGAATGGTCTGTCTTATGTGGATTTCGAATGATTGTATGTGTTGAGATTTAATTATTATGAATGTTGATATGCTGATTTGTATGAATGACTCATGAATTAAATTCAATAAGCTTACCCTGTTGTTTTACTTGCGTTGTCGATCGTGCTTGTACGTCCGTCCTGTCTATGCAATGATCATCCGTGTGGATGTGAGCAGAGGGAGAAGCGTTGCTTGAGGAAACGCTGGAAGAAGAAAATTTGGAGGATGCGAACCTCGTGGATGTTGAAGTGAAGGCCGAGCCCTAGCGCGCTCGTTTGTTTAGTTTTGTTTTTACTTAGTCTGAATAGTGGACGTTCGGTTATTTTGGTTTTGTAAAACCGTTCGTCCCTGACTCTTCTCACTTCTGCTGTTCTGTATTTATTCTTCTGGTAAGGCCGTTCGGCCAGAACCTCTGTTTTAGAAATTAAGACTGCATTGGTTAACTGTTAATGGTAATTAATTCTAAATTATAGTTAGTACTGTATTTTGGGATGTTACAAAATGTATCTCTATACCATTAACTATTTAATATATTTCAGGTTGTATTTTTTTAGGAGAGTTAAAAGATATAAGGTTTTTTCTTTCTTAATTGTGAAGGTGTATCGAGGAAATGAGTGTATTTCATTCAAAAATTATCTCAAAACCCTATAATATGTAAACATATTCTATATTAAAACTAAAAAAACTAACCACAACCAACTAATCTTCAGACTAAGACAACTCTTATCACTCTTGCAATAGAGAGTAAAACTGTAAAAAGGTAAGTCCAAGTATATTGGAGAGGTAACAAGTCAAACTGGAAGAGGTTCTTCTGTCCATGGAGATGAGGATGCAGTTGCAGTTGCCATGAGTATGCAATGAATAAACATAAGGATTTGGTTACTTTAAAATTACTAAAATTGATAAAAAAATCTACATGTATAAAAGGTGTATTTCAATTAAAGAAAAAGTGACACAGTAGCCAAATATTTCAATTATATCAGTATTAACAAATTACTGTGACAACACATAAAACAAAAATAATCAATTCTAAATTCAGATTCACGGTTTGAGAGGAGAGATTGAGATGAGTAACTTTAATATTGCATGTTTCTCTATCTTTTAGAGTCCATGCATTATTTTCAGAGAGTTAAAACTTGCTAAACCGAATTTCATGTAAGTGAATTTGAATTTTAATCGCTATGAAGTTAAAGATTAGTTCTTATCCCACACCAAATGTCTTGACAGAAAATCAATGTATTCGTACAAATTAAAAGTGCAAAACTGCGAAGGCTCAACAATAAAGATATACTATTCCATACAAACTATTATTTTTATTTGACAAAGTACAAGAAAGTCCCCAGAATAAAATTACCACCAAAAATGAACGGCAAAGAATAGAATAAAACAAAGGAAATGAAAAAAAGAACAACTGACATGCAAAACTTTTCTTGCACTTGCCAGCATCTCTCAAAATTGTTGAAGCCTCTGGGAAGGATTCATTTCCATAATTCCATTCTAAGTCCAGTCCTGAAGAGGGAAAGAGATTTTAGTGAGTCGTGAATAACACTACAAGAGTTGAAAAAGGAATGAATTTGGAGTAAATTTTCTTTTTCCTTCAAAAGGAAGGAAACTATCTTGAAAAGTGAATTTTTTTTAAAGAAATTACAACATTTAATGTATCACTTTGGCAATACATCCCGGCCGTGATTCCTAACAAAAAGCTTTTCATTTATTCATTTCTTAATCATTAGCAAAACCCTATTCACAAACACTGAATGAATTCAAGTACAATTCAAATAAAAACAAAACATTCAAAAACTACTAAACTCTCAAAAGTTGATATCAAGATTTATTAAAGGACTAAATATGTTTTAAGTCCCTAAACTTAAATATGAAATTGAAATTCGTTCTTGTCTCCCAAACTTTTAAACCTAACAGCGCTAATTTGTTTTTTGTTAAACAGTGTTTCGGAATAACATTTGAACTTAAATGTGTTAAACAGTGTAAATAGTTCAAACATTACCCTAAAATGAGTTTGGATTGAAAAACCTATAGTTTGGGATATGGTCAAATTTCAATTTCGTATCAAAGTTTAGAGACTAAAAACATTTAACCATTTATTAATTGATAGAATATGACACCATACAATTGAGACCCAGCGCAACGAGCTAACAGACAAGCAAGCATCACCAAGTTTATAGAACAAGAAAATAAATATTTGAAAACAGTAAAACTATAAAACTAAAATCATGTCACCAACACTAACATAAAATGCAAAAAGAAACAAGAATGAGGTTCAAAAGGAAAGGGAAATAGAGAGCTGAAGACGCAAAATATATATAAATGACCTAAGTTTCTAAGCAGAGTACTAAATAAAACCGGGCAAAGGGAAAATAAAGGAAAATGCTTTAGCGCTCAGCAAGAAAAACATGGTGGATAAGAGAAAATACTGTAACAAAGGGTGAAATCATACAAGCATGTCGCCTTATAAAACCATCTGCAGTGAAAAGCACCGTCTTCCGTTCTTGCCCTGATGATAAAAGTTCTTGCATTCTTTCTGGCCAGTCAGAATTTAATCTGCGGGCAAAATCTTCCACTTCCCTGCATCAAATGATACGATGCAGATAAAATTTTAGTGTGCATCCTGTCATCATCTCAAAAGCACTCTAGTGTGTAACAACCAAACGTACATAGGTTACGAAAATGGAATGTCAAAAAAACATGGAAGGTAAATAAAGAGTGTCATAAACATTGCCAATAGTGTTTAGAAATCATAGGTTTCACTCTCTTATGATAATTCCTAACAGAGGAGGAATCATTTGTATTCGAAAAGAAAAGGAAAATACAAAGATGAATAGGAGCAAAGCTCCCCCAAGTCACAGGAGATCTTTGGACTCCAATCAATCATTTGCCCCCTGTAACAGAATTCTTCTCCTCTAACTCCAAAAGACTTCTCCAAATTGTGCCCATTCCTATAAATACCACCCTTTCTAAAATATGCCTTGTCCTCGAGGCAGAAAGTGGGAAATTTATTTTGAATGGAAGTAGCAAGCTCCCTTGGTGCTTCCTCCACTGGCAGGGACCGCCAAAAGATCAGCCATTCCACCACTGGATCCATGGCTTCAAATCTCTCTAGTTGCTAAGATAGCCTCAGGGGTGGGAGGTTCCACTTCACCAATCTCCAGTAGTTGGGGTTCAAAAAACAGTCAGCAAAAACCACTTCTCAAGGACTTTTTAAGCTGAGAAACATGGAATATGGAATGAATTTGAGCTGATGGAGGTAACTGGAACTTATAGGCCACATTTCCAATGCAGGACACCATCTGGAAGGGGGCAGAGTACTGCGGGAATAGCTTGGGACAGTTGCGGCAAACAAAAAATTGCTGCCTTTGGGGCCTGACTTTGCATACTTAATAGTTTGCTAGGCATGCTGCAAATGAAATTTCAATTGACTAAGAGCTGTGTCTCAGTCAAGCAACACCTTTGTTATAGATTCCTTTGCTCTCTTGTTACTGAATCATGAAATTTAGTTAACATAGAAATCAAAACAGAAGGGGGACAACATGAAACACCCATTAAAACAATCAACCCTCACAACAAAAATAATTCACCGTGGAAGTTGGATAGGGTTGTATCTCATTACAGATGCAAATCAACCTAGGATGTTCTATACCTCATCTCTTAGTTTCGGAAATCAACTCAACACAGGCTAATGAATATGGTATTAAGCTCAGTGATGGATGGTAGAGAGAGCATCTGCAACTTTATTTTCCAGACCTGGTTTATAGATTACCTCGAATTGGAAGTCCATTAGTTTGGGTAACCAGCTATGAAGCACACAGACATGAACACAACACAGCAACACCTGTGATCTCCCAAATGAAGGTCACGACAGCACAGGTATACATTTACATATATATACACATGCACACACAGGCACACACACATATTGATCATCATTACGAATTATTTAATACATTCCAAATCATCTAAAAGAAACCCAGTCAAATATAACAGTTTGAACGCATTGTTGCCTAAGACAGAAAAGGATATAATTCATTGTCTAGAATCCAAAATGTTAAAAGAGGATCTCTTTCATTTAAGACATTTCAGCCTTTTGTCATCATAGAAAAAGACACCCTCTAGCTTAGGTTCATCTAAGACAAATTAGCAACTTCAAGAATTGCATAATCATCAAATGAACCCAAATCGTCTCCACCTACATCCGCAATTTTGTTTCCTTTTCATATTGTGAAGTATTCCTTCAAAGAATTTGAAGAACTACCAAATCGTCCACTCTATGTGATGCCATCTCGTTTCTCCTGAGAGAATGGATAAATGAATAAGTACTCTAATTTCTTTCATAGCATGAAGATGAACAAGGTTGTGCAAGTAACTAGAGGGCAATATTTTGAAGTATTGGAGCACTAATACCATGAGCTAGCTACCTTGGTTTTAGATTCATGTTACCCTATCACTCAATGAACCGGTATCATCTCAAAATTCTCTTCCATATGATAAGTCAACAAACTCTATTCACTTATCTCTTGCATTCATATCGAGAAATAATCTCCTAAAGCATTTAGCAAGTTCAATGTGTGGATGTGGAGGAACTCAGTTACAATCTTCACTTAGCCATAGATGACTATAATACCTACAACTAAAAAATAAACAAATATATATATATATATATATATATATATATATATATATATATATGTAGTGTAAGATATTATTAGTTATAATATTGTTAGCCCATACTTTCCTTTATTATCATGTCTTTGACATCATCCTTGTTTGCATAGGCTAGGTGCAAAATCCCTAAATGAAAGGACCAATATTATGATAATTCCGAATTCCTAATTGAGTGTGGCATGATTTGTGTTCAAAAAACAAAGGAAAATACAAAGAATAATAAGAGCAATGGTACCCAAATCAGAAGATATCAATACTCCAATCAATTAACAATTCCATGATTCCTCCCACAATTCAGATTTCCCAGCTATAACAGAATTCTCTCTCCTCTAATTGACTTCCCTCTCCCTGAAATAGCTAATTATGAATAGACGCAATTCATCTCTTTGGCGTATGGGTGTAGACCTTAAAAGGCTTTTCTAAATTGAGCTTCTTCCTATTAGATTTCTTGAAAACCAAAAAAGAGAAGGAAAAAGTTCAATCATTCTGCAGCCTTGTCCTCTGTATATGCAATATAAGACATTCAGTAATGTGGCTGACTAGGCAGAATAAAAGATATTGACTTGCAAGAGCAACAGCAAATATGCCAGTGATAATAATAACTCTCATAAAAATAAAATAGATTTTTAAAATAATACAGTATAAAACAATCAGTCAGAAAATAATCCCACCTGTCAATTTTTTCCTTTAAAGCGGGATCAATCTCATCATCTATATCACCATCATCAAACTCAGGCTTAGAAGTAAAAGCATCATCTTCTGCATAGTGTAAATACGAGGTCTCACTAATTATCTCAGCTTCAGAACTTTGGTGTCTGATATCATGACCATTTACCTCCTATTGTAAGGCAATAAAATAAACACTTCAACTTTTAGGTGAGCAGAGACCATAACCTTGTTCATTCAAAATTGACATAGTGCTAAATGATTTAATGATGTGTAGGCTATACAGCAGAGCATTGAAAACAACCTTCTTGTTCAGTTCAGATGCCTCCTTCAAAGAAGAATTCTTCTGTTGCTCTTTTTTCCTCCTATTCTTCTTTTTATTCTTTGAAGTTTTAACTCCCTTTGGATCTGTGACAAAATTCTTAACTTCCAGTAAGAAATTCAAAAGGGGAACTGAAGAAAAATATGAAAGGGCTATAGGTCTCAAACAATTTCTCCCTAAAAGCATCATAAAATAATTTCAAAATGTAATTAGAAACTACAAATACCAAAAATCATAAAAAATTATCGTCCTAAATGATGTTACAAAAATGCGTGCTTTCACAACATAATGAAATTTGGCATTAAGAAAATAAAAAATACACCAATAAAGAAATAGGTTAATTTTGTCAGTAGATAACTTCACTTATTTGTTTCTCTGATTAAAATTATTTCAAAACAATATTAGTGCAATTTCATAAACTTAAGAAGTCAAAGTTTGAAGCCATGTTTAAGTGTTTCTTATATCAATTTACATGAAATTTAGTTGAAGGGTAAAAAATGCTAGCCATGCTCATACAGAAAAGGAGACAGATATTAGCAGTCTTCTTGCCAATACTAGTTCAGCTTGGCTGTCATAAACTTTGTTGGAGTTGTGATAATTTATCATCTAAAAATGCTACCCGGATATTCTCAAATATAGAATGCCATCATATTACGTACACCACACCCCACCATACTTAACACTTAGTTGTGCATCCTACCATTCAGAATTACATTGTCAATATGAAGAAACGTATGCTAGTTGGACAATGGCCCAAACCAATTCATAAGCTCATCTAATGTTTCACAGGGGGCTTCTTACAACCAACGAGGTCCAAACCAATTAGGAATGAGACAAGTATCCATTTAATCAAGCAATAGACAAAATACATTAAGTGAAGACAAAGATAAGGATGGTTAATATTTTTAATTTACCTCCATCATTTCCATTGATAAAAGACAATAAGTCATCAACTGAACGATCATCCACATGTTCTTCTTCAACCTCAACATTCTGAAACAAGAAAACGGATTATTTAAATCAAACTTATCTACAATTTAGGAATAAAAAATTGAAGTAAGAACAAAAGCACCAGTGTTGTCAATGATTGACGTCTTTGAAATAAAAGAAACAAATGACATGTTACCCATCTTTCATAGCTTTAGTAGAGGCAAAAATTGTCACAATAAGCAACCTATGCTCACTTCTATGAATTTGTTTGGAGAGCAACATAAATATTTCTAAATTTTAAGCTTTCATGGCACAGCACTAGGCACAGGGCAAGATAAGGCAAGTGGTGTGGTTTGAACATTGCTGCACAAATTTTCCTTTTTCTTCATTTGGTTGATGATGATAGTTTATTGTCCTTTCTCTTCATAATCTTGGGTTTAAATACAACTGTTATCCCTATAACTTACTTCTGTTTTGGTTTAAGTCCCTATACTTCGAAAGTGTAGTTTAAGGTCTATAGTTTCAAAAGTTAGGTTACAGTTCAGATTAATAGCAATATGGCCACTTGCCCTACAAGATGCACCATTTCAATCAATGTTTGATATATTAGATGGAGTAACACCTAAAGATAAAGTCATAGGGACCACTAATGTTTTTAAACCATAAATTTTCTGTTCATATTTATGAAAATCTTTCATCAAAAGAAATTTACATTTTCTCCAACATTGCTACCTTGCTTAAAACATGATAGTATGCAATCTCATAAAACTATGACAGTTAATGCAATACACCACTGGCAACACCGATCAGCACAGTTCTGAAATAAAAGTTCAAACAGAAATACCTAATTTAGGAATAGGGTTAAACAAGTTTTTGGTACTTCCAAAGTTTTTTAGCGTTTTTATGCCTAATATTTAATAAATATGTTAACTTGGTCCTGACATCAACTTTGTTACTTTAAAATTAACAGTGTTGGCATGTAATCATCTTAATCAAATATTTGCAGGTATGTTGACATGTGACATTGCCAAAATTAACATGTTAACACCATTAATTCAAAAGTACACAGTAACTGCTAGGATCAAACTAACACATTTACTAAAAGTTGGGCCAATTTTGGAGGTACCAACAACTTATTTAACCCAAGGAATAAGGGCCAGAACTGACATTGACAGCATGACATAAAATGCGTTGAAGATAAAGAAACAATTTGGTGGCACCTTTAACCTTTCACGCTCTTTTAGTTCTTTTCTCTTTTTTGCATACAAACGGTTCAAAAGCCTGATCCTTGGGTCAGCAGTTATATTTCTCAATGGCTCCAGCTTTTCTTCCTGGGTCCACAGAATGTGTAAGAAATGAAAATAGAAAATCCAAAAAGATATAATTGGCATACAGAGTTCTCACAAGCACCAGACACCTCTGTAAGATCATCTGGCAAATGAAATATATCACGTATCTCCTCTGGCGTCTTCCCTTCAATTATTCGAGCAAGTGCACGGCTGGTTAGATCGACTAACGGTTTTAACTGAAGGCTGTCTGCAGCAGATGTCAACTCACATAGCCTCTCTGTGTCTATCCTAACAAATTTCTCATCATAAGATTTACGTTCCTATGTAAAAGAACAATCCCTAAGTCAAACGATTTTCATATTTATAGTTCAGACTGGGAATTGTCTTGTCAGGTATAAAGATAATAACTAAGAGCCTTGAAAAAAAGTAGTCAAACCTTGTTTGACCGGCCTGGTACTTGATGAAAACGACAATAATCAAGAATTAAGCTCAACATGGCAGGACTGACTTGTTGAGGAAGACATATTGCACAGTTCTTGGAAGATCCCAAGCCTTTTTGTATTATTTCTTGACATATAAGTGGGCAAAACATTGCAATTTCTTGTTCCACTTGTTGGATTGAATCATCTGAAGTCTGAAGCCAGACATAAGGCTTCATCATCTGTAAATATAAAACAGGTATCAGAATAGTTTCGGTCTCAACTTAAGAAAGTAACCAACAACAGGTTTTGATTCACTATTATGTTAGTTTCACTTGATTAAACTAAAGAATACCATTTTTTATTCTCCAGACAAGAAAAGTACACAACTAAACATTAAAAAATCATAGAAAATTGGAATACAAAACCTATTAAAGAGACTATCTGTCTAAACTAAGTTAAGTCAGTGATTCAAAGAGAAGATGTCACACAGAATTGAATGAACCACATACAAGACTAATGCTTTCAAAGAATATCTAATGGTTTAAAAAACATTTAGAAAGAGAGATTCACCATTGAAACTCCCTGTTATTTAATTGATGGGTGGTGCATGCACACACTGTTCAATTTTGAATCGAGATTCAGGAGAAAATTACACCAGAGTCATTTCAAATGCTAAAACAACTCTTAAAACAGAAAACTCAAAGATAGCTTGTATTCACATAATCAAAATTTCTTATCAAATAAACACATAGTTTCAGATGCAATGCTAGAGGGTGTTGGGATTCAGCTGTGTAGAGAAAAAATTGGCAGTTAACTATAAACAGGGCGTGTATGTTTTGTAAAAAGTAACTTGAAGAGAAAACAACCTCTGTATTGATTATTTTTATCAAGTTACAAGCTTCGTTACAACATCCGTATATAGACTACAGAAACTAAGTTACTAAAACCTATTGAAATTATTGAGCATAGATTGATTTCAATAATGTATTGAATATTACAGGAAAATTAGAAATGGATTAACAAATCATATAGAAGATAGCGGATAAATAAAGGTCAAAGGAATAGGTTAACAAATCAACCAGAAGCAAACAGGCAGCAGCACAACTCAAATAAAACATTGGGCCACACCTTAAATGGTTGAACCAAAAATATACATTCCCTTATACACAAGAAAGCATACCTCGGGTTTAATAACTGCCAAGTCAGTTTCTGACATCTGACAACAATTTGAAAAGCAAACAGGGACACTTGAAGTGTTTTTACGATGCAGGGAACTCCTGATTTCAAAAATAAACTTCAAACCCAAACAACCATTTAATATTCCACCTGTCAAAGGAATTCTTCAATCAGGATGTTGTTACTCGAGCAACATTATTCAAATGCACAAGATCCATGGGAGAATCTGCAGTGGTACACAGATCTCTATCACAAAAAGTCAACCAGTAAGTAAAATAGGTGTGAACTTTCCAAATAGCACAGCGCAGATTGATGTCTCAAATTCAAGATGAAAGCTGCAATGTTATGGATAAGAAATCAATAACTGCAGCAGATGACAATATAGAAATGAAGGGCAGACAAATATATATTATTCCAATATTAAGCATTGCCAAAATAAAAGTATTAGCATATTGTATATGTTAAGACTACATAAATTGAAGCAAATAATAGTCTTTCTCTAACATTATTTTGTATTTAAAATTTTGTAATAGCTTATAGCTTTGTGCATATACACCAAATGCATACAAAAATATAACTGTTTAATTCCATAAACCTGTAATAGTCTAGAATTGTGTAATTTTTCTTCAACCTATATGAAAGAATCAGCCTCTCAAGGAAGGTTTTCACTTCTCAGAATACCTCTAGCAAACTACTTAAAACTAAATGGCTAGTTACTGCTTTAAAGAACTCAACAAATGTTAGATTAAAAGCATAAGCTTTTCTTTACCTTGTCTATAAACCCACTTCACTGATGACACGCAGTACCAAACCAGTTCTAACTCTTACTTTCATGGCATTATCCAACAGATATTCTTTTAAATTCACAACCAAAAAGAGAAAGGAAGTTAAAAAAATCAGCGGATAAATCAACTGTAATTCTATTATTTTAAAACATTACTAACATAAAAATCGAGTGATTTCATCATTATTTTTCAAAGCAAATCAGAAAACAAAAAAATATTTTTCGGGGCGCGAAGGACATCCCAGCACACCATAGTACCACAATCAGTCATGCGCATTCCCAAGCTCATTTCTAGGTGAGTAATAACTTAACTTTATCATTTCAGAAACCTCCTAATTCTCGCACAGATTTCACAGCTAAGCAGAACAAATTAAAGGGATAACAACAAAACAACATAAGAGTGTGAAAACATGAATTTTTTTTTAAGAAAAAACACATTCTGAAGAAAACCCACAATTCTCTAAAACGAACTTAGGGGAATGAAACGCTCAAATCAAATGTAAGAATGAATCCGTGTGTACCTGGGAAATGGATTTGCAGAGTGACAAGACGAAGGGAAATATAGACAAGGAGAAAAAGGGAGTTAAGAAATTTTTGTGACTGAGAAATTTTTCACTTTAGTGGTCTGTAGTTGGAATCGTTGTCAATGTCAATGGCAAAGTGAATACGAACAATAGGGAGAAGCAAACGACACCGTTCGCAACTGAACCCGATTAGGTTTGGTTTTGGTATGTTGTTTAAGATCCATGACTAAGGAGAAGTAGCCTCTTTCTTCTTGCACCCCTATGATTTTCCTATGTATCCTCAAGGTTTTTAAAAAGACACATGGTGCCCCTGTTTGTTGTACACTAATTAGAGCTTCTCCCTCTTTCACGGTGGATTACATATCATAATTGTTTTTTTCTTATCTATTTTGAAACAAGCTTGGGAGTTGTAAAATGTTTTTTATTTATCGTAATAGAATAAATAGATTCATAATGTAGATTTTGTATTTACAAATGGTGTGATATAAAAAACAAAATATTATTTTGAATGGTATAATTTGTAATTTTATATATATATATATATATNACCAGTGTTGTCAATGATTGACGTCTTTGAAATAAAAGAAACAAATGACATGTTACCCATCTTTCATAGCTTTAGTAGAGGCAAAAATTGTCACAATAAGCAACCTATGCTCACTTCTATGAATTTGTTTGGAGAGCAACATAAATATTTCTAAATTTTAAGCTTTCATGGCACAGCACTAGGCACAGGGCAAGATAAGGCAAGTGGTGTGGTTTGAACATTGCTGCACAAATTTTCCTTTTTCTTCATTTGGTTGATGATGATAGTTTATTGTCCTTTCTCTTCATAATCTTGGGTTTAAATACAACTGTTATCCCTATAACTTACTTCTGTTTTGGTTTAAGTCCCTATACTTCGAAAGTGTAGTTTAAGGTCTATAGTTTCAAAAGTTAGGTTACAGTTCAGATTAATAGCAATATGGCCACTTGCCCTACAAGATGCACCATTTCAATCAATGTTTGATATATTAGATGGAGTAACACCTAAAGATAAAGTCATAGGGACCACTAATGTTTTTAAACCATAAATTTTCTGTTCATATTTATGAAAATCTTTCATCAAAAGAAATTTACATTTTCTCCAACATTGCTACCTTGCTTAAAACATGATAGTATGCAATCTCATAAAACTATGACAGTTAATGCAATACACCACTGGCAACACCGATCAGCACAGTTCTGAAATAAAAGTTCAAACAGAAATACCTAATTTAGGAATAGGGTTAAACAAGTTTTTGGTACTTCCAAAGTTTTTTAGCGTTTTTATGCCTAATATTTAATAAATATGTTAACTTGGTCCTGACATCAACTTTGTTACTTTAAAATTAACAGTGTTGGCATGTAATCATCTTAATCAAATATTTGCAGGTATGTTGACATGTGACATTGCCAAAATTAACATGTTAACACCATTAATTCAAAAGTACACAGTAACTGCTAGGATCAAACTAACACATTTACTAAAAGTTGGGCCAATTTTGGAGGTACCAACAACTTATTTAACCCAAGGAATAAGGGCCAGAACTGACATTGACAGCATGACATAAAATGCGTTGAAGATAAAGAAACAATTTGGTGGCACCTTTAACCTTTCACGCTCTTTTAGTTCTTTTCTCTTTTTTGCATACAAACGGTTCAAAAGCCTGATCCTTGGGTCAGCAGTTATATTTCTCAATGGCTCCAGCTTTTCTTCCTGGGTCCACAGAATGTGTAAGAAATGAAAATAGAAAATCCAAAAAGATATAATTGGCATACAGAGTTCTCACAAGCACCAGACACCTCTGTAAGATCATCTGGCAAATGAAATATATCACGTATCTCCTCTGGCGTCTTCCCTTCAATTATTCGAGCAAGTGCACGGCTGGTTAGATCGACTAACGGTTTTAACTGAAGGCTGTCTGCAGCAGATGTCAACTCACATAGCCTCTCTGTGTCTATCCTAACAAATTTCTCATCATAAGATTTACGTTCCTATGTAAAAGAACAATCCCTAAGTCAAACGATTTTCATATTTATAGTTCAGACTGGGAATTGTCTTGTCAGGTATAAAGATAATAACTAAGAGCCTTGAAAAAAAGTAGTCAAACCTTGTTTGACCGGCCTGGTACTTGATGAAAACGACAATAATCAAGAATTAAGCTCAACATGGCAGGACTGACTTGTTGAGGAAGACATATTGCACAGTTCTTGGAAGATCCCAAGCCTTTTTGTATTATTTCTTGACATATAAGTGGGCAAAACATTGCAATTTCTTGTTCCACTTGTTGGATTGAATCATCTGAAGTCTGAAGCCAGACATAAGGCTTCATCATCTGTAAATATAAAACAGGTATCAGAATAGTTTCGGTCTCAACTTAAGAAAGTAACCAACAACAGGTTTTGATTCACTATTATGTTAGTTTCACTTGATTAAACTAAAGAATACCATTTTTTATTCTCCAGACAAGAAAAGTACACAACTAAACATTAAAAAATCATAGAAAATTGGAATACAAAACCTATTAAAGAGACTATCTGTCTAAACTAAGTTAAGTCAGTGATTCAAAGAGAAGATGTCACACAGAATTGAATGAACCACATACAAGACTAATGCTTTCAAAGAATATCTAATGGTTTAAAAAACATTTAGAAAGAGAGATTCACCATTGAAACTCCCTGTTATTTAATTGATGGGTGGTGCATGCACACACTGTTCAATTTTGAATCGAGATTCAGGAGAAAATTACACCAGAGTCATTTCAAATGCTAAAACAACTCTTAAAACAGAAAACTCAAAGATAGCTTGTATTCACATAATCAAAATTTCTTATCAAATAAACACATAGTTTCAGATGCAATGCTAGAGGGTGTTGGGATTCAGCTGTGTAGAGAAAAAATTGGCAGTTAACTATAAACAGGGCGTGTATGTTTTGTAAAAAGTAACTTGAAGAGAAAACAACCTCTGTATTGATTATTTTTATCAAGTTACAAGCTTCGTTACAACATCCGTATATAGACTACAGAAACTAAGTTACTAAAACCTATTGAAATTATTGAGCATAGATTGATTTCAATAATGTATTGAATATTACAGGAAAATTAGAAATGGATTAACAAATCATATAGAAGATAGCGGATAAATAAAGGTCAAAGGAATAGGTTAACAAATCAACCAGAAGCAAACAGGCAGCAGCACAACTCAAATAAAACATTGGGCCACACCTTAAATGGTTGAACCAAAAATATACATTCCCTTATACACAAGAAAGCATACCTCGGGTTTAATAACTGCCAAGTCAGTTTCTGACATCTGACAACAATTTGAAAAGCAAACAGGGACACTTGAAGTGTTTTTACGATGCAGGGAACTCCTGATTTCAAAAATAAACTTCAAACCCAAACAACCATTTAATATTCCACCTGTCAAAGGAATTCTTCAATCAGGATGTTGTTACTCGAGCAACATTATTCAAATGCACAAGATCCATGGGAGAATCTGCAGTGGTACACAGATCTCTATCACAAAAAGTCAACCAGTAAGTAAAATAGGTGTGAACTTTCCAAATAGCACAGCGCAGATTGATGTCTCAAATTCAAGATGAAAGCTGCAATGTTATGGATAAGAAATCAATAACTGCAGCAGATGACAATATAGAAATGAAGGGCAGACAAATATATATTATTCCAATATTAAGCATTGCCAAAATAAAAGTATTAGCATATTGTATATGTTAAGACTACATAAATTGAAGCAAATAATAGTCTTTCTCTAACATTATTTTGTATTTAAAATTTTGTAATAGCTTATAGCTTTGTGCATATACACCAAATGCATACAAAAATATAACTGTTTAATTCCATAAACCTGTAATAGTCTAGAATTGTGTAATTTTTCTTCAACCTATATGAAAGAATCAGCCTCTCAAGGAAGGTTTTCACTTCTCAGAATACCTCTAGCAAACTACTTAAAACTAAATGGCTAGTTACTGCTTTAAAGAACTCAACAAATGTTAGATTAAAAGCATAAGCTTTTCTTTACCTTGTCTATAAACCCACTTCACTGATGACACGCAGTACCAAACCAGTTCTAACTCTTACTTTCATGGCATTATCCAACAGATATTCTTTTAAATTCACAACCAAAAAGAGAAAGGAAGTTAAAAAAATCAGCGGATAAATCAACTGTAATTCTATTATTTTAAAACATTACTAACATAAAAATCGAGTGATTTCATCATTATTTTTCAAAGCAAATCAGAAAACAAAAAAATATTTTTCGGGGCGCGAAGGACATCCCAGCACACCATAGTACCACAATCAGTCATGCGCATTCCCAAGCTCATTTCTAGGTGAGTAATAACTTAACTTTATCATTTCAGAAACCTCCTAATTCTCGCACAGATTTCACAGCTAAGCAGAACAAATTAAAGGGATAACAACAAAACAACATAAGAGTGTGAAAACATGTATTTTTTTTTAAAGAAAAAACACATTCTGAAGAAAACCCACAATTCTCTAAAACGAACTTAGGGGAATGAAACGCTCAAATCAAATGTAAGAATGAATCCGTGTGTACCTGGGAAATGGATTTGCAGAGTGACAAGACGAAGGGAAATATAGACAAGGAGAAAAAGGGAGTTAAGAAATTTTTGTGACTGAGAAATTTTTCACTTTAGTGGTCTGTAGTTGGAATCGTTGTCAATGTCAATGGCAAAGTGAATACGAACAATAGGGAGAAGCAAACGACACCGTTCGCAACTGAACCCGATTAGGTTTGGTTTTGGTATGTTGTTTAAGATCCATGACTAAGGAGAAGTAGCCTCTTTCTTCTTGCACCCCTATGATTTTCCTATGTATCCTCAAGGTTTTTAAAAAGACACATGGTGCCCCTGTTTGTTGTACACTAATTAGAGCTTCTCCCTCTTTCACGGTGGATTACATATCATAATTGTTTTTTTCTTATCTATTTTGAAACAAGCTTGGGAGTTGTAAAATGTTTTTTATTTATCGTAATAGAATAAATAGATTCATAATGTAGATTTTGTATTTACAAATGGTGTGATATAAAAAACAAAATATTATTTTGAATGGTATAATTTGTAATTTTATATATATATATATATATATATTACAATTTTCAAATTATATTATTTGGGAAGAGGTGTCATTATTAGTACTATGGACCACATGAAAATTATAGTTAATAATTCTATAACACATAGATATTATGACTAGTAATTGTGAGCGTTGATTTTAAAATTATTTTTTGTAAATTCTAAAATATTTTAAATAATGTGTCGGTTTAATCCTTTACTATGTCCCTATTTATGTACGAATTTCTCAATTGGGTCCTCGTTTTTTAAAGTGTATCAAAATGGTCCTTAATTTTGAAAATTGATATCAATTGAGTCCTTTCCGTTAAGTTGGCTGGACGGCGTTAAAAAAATTGATGAGTGGATGCTGTGATGACGAACGAACGCTCGTCCACCAGCGAACGAACGCTCGTCCACCAGCGAACGAACGCTCGTCCACCAGCGAACGAACGCTCGTCCACCAGCGAACGAACGCTCGTCCACCAGCGAACGAACGCTCGTCCACCAGCGAACGAACGCTCGTCCACCAGCGAACGAACGCTCGTCCACCAGCGAACGAACGCTCGTCCACCAGCGAACGAACGCTCGTCCACCAGCGAACGAACGCTCGTCCACCAGCGAACGAACGCTCGTCCACCAGCGAACGAACGCTCGTCCACCAGCGAACGAACGCTCGTCCACCAGCGAACGAACGCTCGTCCACCAGCGAACGAACGCTCGTCCACCAGCGAACGAACGCTCGTCCACCAGCGAACGAACGCTCGTCCACCAGCGAACGAACGCTCGTCCACCAGCGAACGAACGCTCGTCCACCAGCGAACGAACGCTCGTCCACCAGCGAACGAACGCTCGTCCACCAGCGAACGAACGCTCGTCCACCAGCGAACGAACGCTCGTCCACCAGCGAACGAACGCTCGTCCACCAGCGAACGAACGCTCGTCCACCAGCGAACGAACGCTCGTCCACCAGCGAACGAACGCTCGTCCACCAGCGAACGAACGCTCGTCCACCAGCGAACGAACGCTCGTCCACCAGCGAACGAACGCTCGTCCACCAGCGAACGAACGCTCGTCCACCAGCGAACGAACGCTCGTCCACCAGCGAACGAACGCTCGTCCACCAGCGAACGAACGCTCGTCCACCAGCGAACGAACGCTCGTCCACCAGCGAACGAACGCTCGTCCACCAGCGAACGAACGCTCGTCCACCAGCGAACGAACGCTCGTCCACCAGCGAACGAACGCTCGTCCACCAGCGAACGAACGCTCGTCCACCAGCGAACGAACGCTCGTCCACCAGCGAACGAACGCTCGTCCACCAGCGAACGAACGCTCGTCCACCAGCGAACGAACGCTCGTCCACCAGCGAACGAACGCTCGTCCACCAGCGAACGAACGCTCGTCCACCAGCGAACGAACGCTCGTCCACCAGCGAACGAACGCTCGTCCACCAGCGAACGAACGCTCGTCCACCAGCGAACGAACGCTCGTCCACCAGCGAACGAACGCTCGTCCACCAGCGAACGAACGCTCGTCCACCAGCGAACGAACGCTCGTCCACCAGCGAACGAACGCTCGTCCACCAGCGAACGAACGCTCGTCCACCAGCGAACGAACGCTCGTCCACCAGCGAACGAACGCTCGTCCACCAGCGAACGAACGCTCGTCCACCAGCGAACGAACGCTCGTCCACCAGCGAACGAACGCTCGTCCACCAGCGAACGAACGCTCGTCCACCAGCGAACGAACGCTCGTCCACCAGCGAACGAACGCTCGTCCACCAGCGAACGAACGCTCGTCCACCAGCGAACGAACGCTCGTCCACCAGCGAACGAACGCTCGTCCACCAGCGAACGAACGCTCGTCCACCAGCGAACGAACGCTCGTCCACCAGCGAACGAACGCTCGTCCACCAGCGAACGAACGCTCGTCCACCAGCGAACGAACGCTCGTCCACCAGCGAACGAACGCTCGTCCACCAGCGAACGAACGCTCGTCCACCAGCGAACGAACGCTCGTCCACCAGCGAACGAACGCTCGTCCACCAGCGAACGAACGCTCGTCCACCAGCGAACGAACGCTCGTCCACCAGCGAACGAACGCTCGTCCACCAGCGAACGAACGCTCGTCCACCAGCGAACGAACGCTCGTCCACCAGCGAACGAACGCTCGTCCACCAGCGAACGAACGCTCGTCCACCAGCGAACGAACGCTCGTCCACCAGCGAACGAACGCTCGTCCACCAGCGAACGAACGCTCGTCCACCAGCGAACGAACGCTCGTCCACCAGCGAACGAACGCTCGTCCACCAGCGAACGAACGCTCGTCCACCAGCGAACGAACGCTCGTCCACCAGCGAACGAACGCTCGTCCACCAGCGAACGAACGCTCGTCCACCAGCGAACGAACGCTCGTCCACCAGCGAACGAACGCTCGTCCACCAGCGAACGAACGCTCGTCCACCAGCGAACGAACGCTCGTCCACCAGCGAACGAACGCTCGTCCACCAGCGAACGAACGCTCGTCCACCAGCGAACGAACGCTCGTCCACCAGCGAACGAACGCTCGTCCACCAGCGAACGAACGCTCGTCCACCAGCGAACGAACGCTCGTCCACCAGCGAACGAACGCTCGTCCACCAGCGAACGAACGCTCGTCCACCAGCGAACGAACGCTCGTCCACCAGCGAACGAACGCTCGTCCACCAGCGAACGAACGCTCGTCCACCAGCGAACGAACGCTCGTCCACCAGCGAACGAACGCTCGTCCACCAGCGAACGAACGCTCGTCCACCAGCGAACGAACGCTCGTCCACCAGAGAACGAACGCTCGTCGACCTCTTACTGCTGGACGACCGTTCGTTCCACACTGGACGAGCGTTCGTTCGGTGGTCGACGAGCGTTCGTTCGCTGGTGGACGAGCGTTCGTTCGCTGGTGAACGAGCGTTCGTTCGCTGGTGGACGAGCGTTCGTTCGTCATCTCAGCATCCACTCATCAATTTTTTTAACGCCGTCCAGCCAACTTAACGGAAAGGACTCAATTGATATCAATTTTCAAAATTAAGGACCATTTTGATACACTTTAAAAAACGAGGACCCAATTGAGAAATTCGTACATAAATAGGGATGTAGTAAAGGATTAAACCTAATGTGTCTTAAGCTATATCCTAAATTTCACTTTTTTATTTCATATTGTATTTAGAAAGAACAAATAATTGTCTTGGTATTGATATGTGATAATTAGTGGTGTCAAAAGGGATTGGAACTGTGAGTTAATTTTACTCATCGTGAGTTCGAGTTGGATTGGGTTGAAAAAGAGATTAATAATTTATTAGAAATTAATTACCTCTCATATTATAATTAAATTAAAAAATAAATTATATCATATTTCAAGGGATGTCGATTAAATTGTATGAGAGTAACATTTTATGTGAAATGTGTTAATTGTAAGATTTCTATTAGTAGTATCTTGTGCACTTCTGGATGAAATATGATAAGAGGAACAATGAATTGATTAAATTTGTTAAAATGTAAGGACCAATAAATCTGAACCAAGAGAGGGATGAATTGGTTAAGACCTAATTTTACCCTTCGTGAAAACTTATGGTGTTTTAAAGATATTTCAAATAAACTTTTCAACCTTTCAAAAATTTAATCAAATAACAAGTAAAGAAAATAAATCAAGATACACAAGATTTGACACTATTCAATCTTTTTCCAAACAACCTGAATTGGAATAATAGAGTTGATATTAGAAGATTACAAGATTTCCTATGCAATCTATATCTTTAACCAAACACAAATAGTTTATAATTGTGAGACTACACAAACTCACCCTAAAAACCTTGCCTACATAGCAAATGATATAGTGGTAATCAGAAATAACAGAAAAAGAAAAGGAAATAGATACACCTTTAATGCCCATAGAACACATTGGAAACAATCTCTCCTTAGCTTTTTCCACTTATTCTTGTAAGGTTGTAGTCTTGATTTCACGTCTCTCCAAGAATGTTTGAAGGATGTTCTTTCTCAACCAATGAATGCTTTTGCAATGTATTTCTTAGACGAGAAAGTAAATCAGACACATTTATATACAAAAACACATTAATGATAGTTTTAATTGATTATGTAATCAACATAGTCGATTAAAACAAAAAGCTAACATTTTCTAACGTACATATTAACAGATTTAACAATCAATTAAGAACCTAGTTCCTACAATACATCCATTTTAATAGATTCAGCAATTAGTTAATTTCATCATAAACATTTTAAACACATCATCAAAAATACTTTAACCATATTTGAAGCATCATCAATAATATTTTCCTACTTAGGTTAGCTTCCCCTGTCAACAAAAACATTCTATGTTCACTACTTTATTAAGTAACCACTGAGTCATAAGGTTTAGTTGAATTTGTAAGAGAAAAACCTCCATAATTTTCAAAGGTTATAACCCAAAATCTTAATTATAGATTTAGAAAATTGAGAAAATATTTTAAGTTATGAATTATTCTAACAACCAAAAGGTAAATTATGTTGTTAGGGGAGGTTGAATTTAGAAGATTACTAAAAGGAGGGAAAACAATCATTACTTGGAAAGTGTTGAGAACAATTTTTTTATAAAAATATTTTCATAATGATGTGAGGAGAGAAAAAATAAATAATCTTTATACAATTGAAATAAGTGAATGTGACAGTATAATAATATGTTTCTATGTTTGGAGAGTCGAAAAAATATTCTA